GTGACAAGTATACATACAAATAAAAACCCAGCGAAGCGGGTCCTTGCAGCTAGTTAATAAATAAATTTGAAAGGAAATTATAGTTGAGTTGTATATTAAAATATCTTCATTAGTTGTTAGTCTTGAAAAATTTTTCTTAACTTGTTGAATGTTATATATTATTCAATTGATATTTTTATATTCCTTACTTTTCTTGAATTAATATCTTTTAAACTTTGCTTTGAATTAAAATCAATTGTTCCAAACCATTTCAATCCATTTAATTCAAAAAAATTACTGTTAAAAACAACTGCTTTCATCCATTCTGTTTTTAAATATAAAATATTAAATCAAAAATGAACTTAGGATTTGGAATATAACAACTTTGGATCTTCTCAAATTGTCCTTTTGTATTTTAAATAAATGTTTGTAGCTTAAACTTACAGTTTAGATAATTTAACTTTACTTTGATTGGAAATATTACATTAAAAATGTCTTATAACCCTTGATCTTTAGTTGTGAATATGATTGTAAGTTAACCAATTACCATTCACTTTACTTATAGTATGCAAATATTTATTGGTTAACTTTTCTCTCTTAATCCTTGGTTATGAATAGACATTAGTAAAATAGGTCCAATAAAGAAACTTTCATTTTTCTTCTTTTTTGCATCGTACCGATGCACTATATTGAAATTTTCAAGTTGGAGAGTTGGAAGTTGACCAGTTAGCTATGTAGTAAGATATCAAAGCTTACTGCTTTTGGACCCAGATTTGAATTTAATCCTCAAATTACAAACAATTAAAAATCTAATTATTTAAATATATAAAATTACTTGTCCTGACTGACTGATTCATCATCGCCCAGAGCAAACTGTTGAACCTAGAGGTGAAATTTGGTACACAATTAGGGTACATCATGAAAACACACACTAAAAAGAGATTTTTCGAAATTACCCCCCACGGCAGAGAGGGAAAGGATTAAGGCTTAACCTGAAGAACGGCTTCTACTGCACTATTTTAGATGCAATTTTTTGTTTTCAACTATGTTTAGTCTTTGTTGAGTACTTAGATGTATTAAATTGATAACATTTCAGACATTGTTATAAATATTTTTATATATTTCAATT